AAATTTAGTACATTTGAAAAATCAATACAGGACATCAGGTCAAACCGAATAGGTGAAAAGCCCCGCCGCGGTGGTCCAGTGGCTAAGGTACCCGGCTGCTGACCCGCAGGGCGCGGGTTTGAACCCCGTCTGCGGCGGCTGCATTTCCGATGGACGCGGAAATGTTGTAGGCCCGTGTGCTCAGATTTTGGTGCACGTTAAAGAACCCCAGGTGGTCTAAATTTTCGGAGTTCTCCACTACGGCGTCTCTCATAATCATATAGTGGTTTTGGGACGTTAAACCCCACATATCAATCAATCAATAGGTGAAAGTGAAGAGCAAACTGTCATGAATATAAGTAACGTGATAAATGATTCGTGAAATAAATCGAAATTAGACGTAAACGTAAAGGGATCTAACAAAGGTCCTAATAATTGTAGAAATTCAGCTTGTGCACGCGATTACACGTTAAGAAGAGCCGCGTGGCGTAAACTACTTTACAACCAATGCCCTAGAAATTGGAGAGATTATAAATATGCGGCTGTCATTTTTAAGAGAATAGTTTCCGCTGTGAAAAACAGCTATCATAGTCAGCGTTCTGAAATTCTGTCAAAACCTAGCAACAGCAAATCTCTTTTTAATTTCCTCGGAACCACAAAGCTTATACCGTTATCCAAGTACAATAAATCAGTCTACTAAATCAGTCTATTGTCTACTTTTCTTGAAGATATTCCAAAAAGACTAGAAAGTCGCTTTACGTCTGTCTTGTCCCACCACACTCGATCTCCTAAAAAAAGTGGTGGTTTTCAGGAAATCACTGCTTCGGAGTTTGAACAAGTAGTAAGAAACTTGCCCAGTACTGTGCCAGGTCCTGATGGCATAACTACTTAGACAATAAAAATCATTCATGAGGTTCTACCCCACGACCTCCTGGCATTGGTTAACCAATCTATCAGAAACTCATGGATTCCACCTGATTAGAGAATGGCTAACATGCTTCCTCTATTCAGATAACAGAGACGTTAGAGAACATCACGCCTGTAGCACTTACATCTAATCTCGTAAAGCTAATCGAAAGGATCTTACACATTAAGATAGACAAATAGGTTGAATGATAACATGGTTTCGAGCCCACGCCAATGTGGCTTCAGGCGTGGTTGCTCCATTTGGTGTAACCATGTCGATTTGGAAAGTAGAATACAGCTTGCCTGTTATAAGAAATAATATGCTGCCTTAATAAACCTGGACATCACAAAAGCTTATGAAAGCCTGGAACATTCAAAACTAATAAATTCACTGTAAAACGCACGTCTACCACAATACATTGTAGAACGGGTGCATTCCTTCTTAAACGACAGAGAATTTTACTGTTTTCAATCTCGTTTATCGTCTTTAAGGCACAAACAAACTAGAGGTATCCCAGAAGGACCAGTGTTATCACCACTATTATTATTTTACTATGCCCTATTCCTATACAGGTGGACGAGCAAGTGTATGTGTATGCCGATTATATCGCGTTTTTTGCTACAGCAGCAGGTATACATTAAATTTATCGAAGTCTGCAGACGTATATAAACGCTCTGGAAACGTGATTAGAAAAAAATACACTTGTCCCCGTGTGTCAAAAAAATGCGATTATAGTTTTTCCTCCGAGTGTTCCGGTCTATATTGCTTTGCATTCCCGGCAAAACGTTATCCCGCACGTGGAATTCGTTAAGTATTCAGGAATCACTTATACTGAAAAAAATTATTGGAGGCCACATATAAAAAATATAGCTGCCAAAGGAATACGTGCGCTGGGAATGCTTCGTAGACTCAGCAACAAACGTTCAGGTCTACGCTGTGTTCTAGTCATGATTTACTGCATGTATATTCGCCCTATATTAGAGTTCAGCTGCGTCTTGTTTCCTCGTGCACCTGCATACAAACTATGACCACTGGTTCTTTTACAACGTGAATCATTGCGATTATGCCTTCTACTTCCAAAATTTGTCTCAAATACTATTTTATACAAAGAAGTACGCCTGCCTTCTGCTCGTACTCGGTTTAACATCCTAACCGTGCATACATTTCTGAATATCTATGCATTGCCATTGAAGAGATCGCAATATATTTTTCCTAATAATCCGACGCAATTTTTCGACCATCAGTGGCCAAGATTATGGTGTCCCCAAGTTATTTTCGCACAGACACATTTGGAAACATTACAAGTGCAGCTCCGTGAAGTACTAAGCATGCGCAGATCTGTACAAACGAGTCGAATAGAATTTGACGACATATTTCTCAAGAATGGCAAGCATTTACCCAGTAGACACTTAAATTGAATTTAGGAAGACAATTTGACTAGATTAGAAACAGCTGCAGTGATAGCAACCGGCGCTTCAGTTTGTGAAGAAAAAAGGCAGAAGTGGGAAATGCATCGTTGCACTAGGATCGGTCTTTTTCAATTCAATTATCTGACTTTACTCATATTCATCATGCAAAATTACTTGCCGTTATATTAGCTCTACGGAAATTACCCTTATCTATATTAGAAGCCGTCACTGTGACAGACAGCCTATCTATCCGTCTGCTCTTCATTAACTACATCAAATTTTTCAGTTTCTTTAGAAATATTTTATTCCCTCATTCCAAGACATATACTGTATTATTGGCTTGGTGTTGGTATCAGGGTACAAAGGTATGCCTCTAAATGAACAAGCGGATGCACTCGCACTCCTATCATATTTCTGAAGAATTTCAAGCGTTTACCCTGTAGATACTTAAACTACATTTAGGAGGAACATTTATTTAGATTAGAGATGGCTGCTGTGATAGCAACTGACGCTTCAGTTTGCGAATAAAAGGCACGAGTGGAAACTGCATTATTTTGCTTGAATTAGTCTTTTTCAATTCGCTTACATGACTTTAATCTTATTTATTATGCAGAATTACTTGCCATTTTAATAGCTTTACGAAAATTACCGGTATCATTATTAGAAGCAGTCATTCTGACAGGCAGCTTATCTATCCATCTGTTCCTCAATAATTGCGTCAAATTTTTCAATGTCTTTAAAAATCATTTATTATCTCAAGCCAATACATATACGTATTATTCGCTTGGTGTGGGTACCAGGGTACAAAGGTATACCTCTAATGAACAAGCGGATGCACTCGCACTTCTATCATGTAATGGTCCGATGTCTATTTTGCCGACGTTGGCGTTTGTAACTGCGGCGTGTTTTGAAAAAGTTGCCATATCGGACAACTTCGCTTAGCCTGCGTTGTCAGTTTCTGAGTTCCCTCACCTCAATTATGTGGGAACAATCGATGGTGTTCCTCCAAAAGGACCAAGATTGCAGTTACCGAAGTACGATGCCGAGTCCCTCACTTAATTTTTACCTACACAAGTCTGGTCTGGTACAGTCACCTTTATGCCTCCATCGCAATGAGTGTGAATCTCTTCATTATTTTTTTTTCTAACGTGTAGATTTTTCCCCAATCAGAGGAAAAGACCTCTAGATGAACTGCTTCGAAGGTCGAGATTAAACTTATCCCTTCCGGTTCTTCTTTGCTTTTGGGGCTACCACGCTGGGTTTTTAGCCACAGGAGCGTTTGCGTGGCCGTTCGAGATTTGCTTCGACAGACGAGAAGAATTGAATGCTAAGTTTATCAATAAAAAATAATCAAAATCAAGCATATTCAATAAAATTTTACACTTCGAAATTATGAACTTTTCCTTTTAAATAACAAGGCATCGTTCGTTTCATGGCCGATTTCCCATCGTGGGTTGCGCCAGGATAAAAGGGACTAACAATCAAAGTAATCAATACTCTAGCCACTATAGCACCACGCATCTGGGCGAAGGTCCGCGGTCGCTAGGCCCGCTTGCCACTGTACCAAAAGAAGGCGCAGGAAAAGCTACCACACCTGCAACTTTAGCGGCAGTCTTCGCCCCCGCATTTCGTACGCAAGGCCTACTCCACGCACCCAAGCGTCAGTGCTGTCTGTTATGTTGTGGAGGTGGGAGCGAGTATTTTTCTTGAGTTCAGTTAAAAAGTCAATGGCACTGTGTTTTTGCACTGGTACGCCACTGAGTTTGGATGATTTGTGACTTAGTGGAAAAGTGACACGTATGGATTTTGTACCAATCGCCTGTAATGAGTTTCGCACGGTGGCAAAGTTGTCATGAGAATGCACATCGCTTTACAGAAGCATCAGAACTGTACTCGTGCTGTGGCAGGGCAGGACAACATCACAATTTTCTTACAAAAGACGTTCGAAGAAAGTGCGATGCGCGCAAAATGTCTACTCAAGAGTTTTTTTGTGGAACACAACTTGCCACTAAGCGCTTTGGATAATTCAAGAACGTTGCTTCAGAAAATGTTCCCGAAGATCGAAGGACGCAAAGCGGTACTGGTGCGGACGTACGGGAACAAACTGCCACCTTCGAGGCAATGCCTGCAGATGCCGAAAACACAACTTTCTAGGATCTCAAACGTGGTGCTTTTTTCAATCAAAGCGTGTCGGAAGTGCCTCAGCCTGAGTAATTTCTGATTTGCGAAAAAAAAAGACAAAACCCTCCCCCCCCCCCCGCGCGCGCTGGCTGCGGTCTCCCGAATTTTCATGGTGCTAGGTTGGCAGGTATGTGTATCATGGATAAATTATTTTATAAGTAAGAAATTTCCGCAATTAGCATTTCCTTCCTATATAAGTTTATTTCCAATAATCTCTTTTCATGTCTCTCTGCACGGTGGGGAGATGAGATAAAGGAGTGAGAGAAGTGCCTATTGTGCGTTTTGTCAATAAACTGCCTAGCGCCGACTAAAGACGCTGGCAATTTGTCACTCAAAATGCATGTCTATCCTAATAATTGTTGTGAAACCTGCGCTTATGTCAGGATTAAACGAACACAGCTTGCTCGTCACATGAGACGCCATTCATCTACATCACCATGATTAACGTGCATTGATGCGATGCTAATTTTCAGGCAAGGACATTGAGAGAAATGTTCTTGTGCGCATAGCTATTGAATGTGCACCTGTAGCAGCCAAGAGATCCGTAGCAGACGCCCCTCTCCGCTGTGGCCGCGTTGGTGCTTCTTCGGTGGCGTCCGTTGTGCGCGCGCTGCCACTGTGCAATGGATGACGCCACCGCTGACCAGATCTCCTGCGGACTCGGCTCATCGTCGAACAACATAGGAACCGGTTTGAACAGTGCGCCGCGACTTCCTGCGAAGAGAGACACCAGCACTTTCAGCACGTGCGTGCGAGGCTGGCTTACGAACGTCGTGAAGTACCGAAACGCGCGTAGTGTGTACAAGTGAAAGCTCCAGGAGGTTTTCACCATTCAACCAGTGTGATTATCAGCCTTTCTAAAGATGGGGCAATCCATTCGACTTCAAAAAAACGTAACGACGGCTCATGGCGTAAGTTTCTATGTTCCACTTGGTATAGGCATCCAAGCAACGAAATGGCTTAAGCAAGGAGTTCTCTAACGCATGATGGCGTTGCACAATACAGATGCCTTTTGTATTTCTTCTCAATCTAAATGCGATTTCCATGGCCGCGATCGAACCGTCTCTTATGGGTGAACCGCTGAGCACCGCAAGCACTAAGCCACCACGGCGGCACCCCGCCGCGGTGGTCTAGTGGCTAAGGTACACGGCTGCTGACCCACAGGTCGCGGGATCGAATCCCGGCTGCGGCGGCTGCATTTCCGATGGAGGCGGAAAGGCTGCAGGCGCGTGTGCTCAGATTTGGGTGCACGTTAAAGAACCCCGGCTGGTCGAAATTTCCAGAGCCCTTCACTATGGCGTCTGTCATAATCAAATGGTGGTTTTGGGACGTTAAACCCCACATATCAATCAATCAATCACCACGGCGACAAAAGTCCCAGGAGAGTTATAGGGCCTCACCCTTATGTGGTGTTCAGAGTGCAACCTTTCATGGTGTGAATAACTTGGGAAATAACTGGCAAGAGTAAATATACACACCACGATAGGGGGACAATGGTATCAGAAAAACTGCGCGAAAATAACGCGGACGAACGAAGAATAGGAACACAGATTCTTAATTTGGCTCTGTTTTCGCCGCACAGTTTTTCAGGTATTTAGGGGAATAGTGAATGTTACAAGATGCCATTCTTATAAGGATGAATGATGGATGCTATGAGCGTCCCCTTCATAGTGGACTGCTGACGTCAGTGCCATTTCTCAAGTGGGTTGTTTATTTGCTTGTTTGTTTCATTATTCTGCAAACACGGATACACAAATAAACAGAGGAAAGAGGGAGAGAACAAGCAGGCAACTGTCACCAGGGCACAACACCTGCTTGTTCTTTCGGGAGGACGCAAGAAATAGAAGAAAAGAAGATGGGAGGGGAGAAAGAGCAGAGAAGAGAGAGACGTAAGGAAAAAATGACAAAGCCTTACAAAAACGTAAATGAACACGCATACAGAACAGTCTATAAACGTGTGGTCATCCCCGTTTGGTTCATATAATTTTATAGAGCTCGATGGAGTGGTCGCATCGAGACACACAACCTCTCGGAACGAGGTAAACACCTATAGCCACCAACTCAAATCGCACGAATCTATATTCCTGAATAGGCAAAGCGCGCTGCTTAGCAAACGGGAAAATGCACTATAGCATGCTAAACTCTTTAACAGGAGGCACAAGATGCACAGCTGACTGTAAACACGCCCTCGTTAGTTTCGCGTTTGCACGTCAGCAGAGCCGACTCTCAATTTATAAAACAGCGCTCTGGAACGACGAGGCAAGCCACAAACACAGGAGGGAATAATCCGTTGGCGGCATGCTGGTTCGCGTGCTGCTTTAGGAGGTGTCGATGTATAAGCAGACGAGCGTTGTACTTAAAAAAACGAAATGCACTTACTTTAACGTCACAAACGCAGCTAGCGGAGAAACTCAACAAATAAACAACATCACCAAGCTAAGACGCTGCACATTGATATCCCCCTCAACTGCGACATAAATAGTTGCGTCACCAAACATATTGGGCCTTACGACATGCATGTGCCAGGCGAAAAAGGCATGCTGGTTAATTTTAATTTCATCAGAATTGCCAGAATTTCTTAATTAACGTGATTCTGAATTATCCCAAGCACCAAGAAAACAACACTAGCCATTACGCTAACGCATTTTCGTTTCTTGATGATTACGTAAATTATGTACCTATGCCGCTGAAGGGAAGTGTAAAAGTCCTTATTTTACATAGCTTGCTTCACTCTGTGATCGTGGCTCAAGGATACCAATATGAACTTGTTGGTTCATCGTAAACTGGCTTCTCAGTTAGAGCACAAACACGCATCGACAAAGAAGAAGTACTAGAAGAAAACAAGCGGTAATTTTAACAATGAAATCTTTGTTTTGCCAATTGGTCATATGTAGGCATAAAATCAGATGACAACGATAAAAACTTCTCGTTGTTACAAATTATGAACAATTGGAAAAAACATTCAATGTAATCCGCCGAACCAACGCACAATATTTTGGTAACATTTGCATGTTATGAACTTCAGGGCATGCGTAAATACTCAATTTATTTGGTGTACAATGACAAGGACGACTTGTTGATACGATTGCCCCCGGCGGAAAGGATGCGATGGGTTTCTATTATCAGCCTTACAGATTCGAATTTCCTTTTGGAAATATTGACGGTGGCTTCTAGTAGTGGATGGAATACACAAGTATTGCAGTAAAACGCTAAGAAGCCGTAACCTGACGTACGTTACATCTTGTTTCTACGTTCCCTCAGCCAGTTGTTTATGCATTGTCCCGTCTGACCTATGTAACAAGTTTCACATGAGAGGTGGATGCGGTGAAACACGCTACAGTACAAGATTACCAACTTTTCAATCTCTTTCTTACCACAAACCGACCTGGTAGTCGATACAGGATTAGTGTTTCTGCCCCAAAATGTTCAACTTTTTAGGAGCTAAACAAAGAGCGCTTACGCTTTCTCGGCGTCTTGTCTTTTTCAAGCTGTGAGGTAACGGGTGAGTAGGACGTACTACAGCCATTCTTGTGTGCTAACATCCGCTATCATCCCCGTTAGCCTGCGGGCTTTCTGTGACGCGTTCATGATTCAGCAACTTTTCTGCTATTGACACCTACACAAGTTTAAGATACCCGGTGTCCTCAAGACGTGTCACATTACGAAAAATTGCCCTCATTAGCGGAAGGCACAATTTTATGGTGATATCTTCAAAGCGCAGGTTGGTTAAGCCCTTCTAACTAGCTTATAATAAGCCGAACAATATGGAAGAAAAGGTGTGTTGGACAGCAGGTCAACCTAAAATGAAAATCAAGAATCCGTAGAGAATCATCAACTGGCACTGCAGTCGTGACATTGACTTTTATATACCCGCGAATAATGGTAAACACGTTATCACGCTTCGTTTGAAAACACATGTTATGTCAGTCAAGAACTAATCAAAAGTCGTCAGCAAACCTATAGGCTTTTCTGAAACTTGTGACCTCCTTCTGGCGTTGACACATGTCCATGTTCAATTTCGCTAAAAAGAAGTTACTGAGCGCTGGCACCTGGCAAGGACTGATACAAATCTCTTTTTTTGTAAATAAGCTGTGGCTCCACTGAATAAACATTGATAATAACTAAACACGATAATTCTCTATAGACTCCCCTGTCGAAGTGCCTGTTTCATGTCAATACCTGCAGGCCCCATAACTGTTCATACATTCTTTGGCACACTTGAGATTGTCGTTGTGCGGAATAGAACGATATTAGTCTTTAAAATCAGCTGAGAAAGCTCTTAGGCACCTATGAGCATTTGTAATAAAAAAATTTCGAACTTTATCGGAACTTTTCCCGAGAAAGAAGTCACAGATGTCAAAAACTTCGCTCGAAACCCCGTGTCTTAAGTCAAAACATGGTCTGAACCCACCACTGATTATGTCCTGCCACCACGGACACCACCACGTACGATCATTATTTCGCTATAAAAGTGACCGGCAGTTGATCGTTCGTCCAGCAGAATGTAGCAAACATGTTTTGTGCCAGTATACACACCGCGTCCGATGCTCAACCTGTTCATCTCATCAGCTTCCACCATGTTTCTGTTCTGGGATACTGCGAGCACATCGCCCGATGTCACAACGAAGCCACTGACCTCCCCATCGGCTGCGCACTAAACCGTGGCCGGTAAAGGCACAATTACAGCGCTCACGCCGTTCTAAAGGAAGAAAGAAAAATAGAGGGAAAAGAAAGGCAAGGAGGTTAACCAGCCTATAAGCAGCCGGTTTGCTACCCTGCGCATGGGGGAGGGATGGGGGAGATGAAAGAAGAGCAGAGAGGGAAGATAGAAACAGCACATTTGACAGCACATGCGCGCCCACTCAGTCATAGTCCAGTCTTGTCTTTCGCGGTGTGTGACATTGCTGTTACAGTCGCTTGTTCAAGTCGGTGTCGCGTAGCAATTTCAACAGAGCTGTCGTCGCCTTCTGTTGCAGTGTCTTCTCTCGGGCACTTGACAGAATAGTGTCCACAGATATTTGGCTGTTGTCGATGCGCGCAAAAGCAGACGCCAGTAACTGTCTCTGGATTTCATACAATGGACAGTCACACAGGATGTGGTGTAGCGTCTCTTTGCAATGACAGGCATCGCAGAGAGCGTTGTCGGCCATTCCTATGACAAAGGAGTAAGATTTTGTAAATGCCACTCCTAGCCATACGCGATGAAGTAGGGTGGCTTCTCTTCGGTCGAGTCCAGTGGGCATGCGGAGATCCATCAAATAGGACAGGTGGTGTTGACGATTCGTATCGATGCTTGGTGGGCACCATAGTGAAAACGTGATTTCACGCGCAAGTCGTCGAAGATTACTGGCAGCATCAGTCCTCGAAATTGGTATGGCTTCTTTTCGTGTTCCTTCAAGGGCTGCCCGCGCGGCAGTATCGGCATGTTTGTTTCCTATGATGCCGCAATGACTTGGCAGCCAATGACTTTCGGCTGTTATACGCCGTTCTAAAGGTATGCGCGCGGCTTACGTTCTAAGCCATAACGAAACTTCTCAGCCCGACATCTGCTGCTGAACACCCCTGCAGTTGGCTAACGCACCATCGTGGAAGACGCCAACGGAAGCGTTAAGTCACGTGAAGAAAACGTTAATTCTTGTCGAAGCTTTCACTCCACAAGCACCCATAGATATCGCCCACGCAGTCCCAGTGTGCCCAGCAAAATCGACTATATA